CCCAGGATCCCATATAGGCACCGATTTGTATCCAGTGGCTCCACTTCCCATCCAGTTTTCCGCCTGTGGTCTGGGAAGGCCTTGGGACCCTACACCCACGTGGGAGACCTGGAAGAAGCTCCTGTCTCCTAGTTAGGGATCGGCTCAGCTCCAGCAGTTGCAGCCACTTGGAGAGTGAATTCTCAGACAGAAGATCTTCCTTTTCTGTCTCTCCTCTCTGTATATCTGATTTTGCAATAAAAATAAATCTCAAAAAAAATTAATAAAAAGAGTTAGAGACACAGAAGGAGAACAAACAGGAGGGAGAATCTTCCATTCACCATTCACTCCCCAAATGGCCTGGCCTAGGCAAGGCTCAAGCCAGGAACTTCACCCGGGTCTCCTATGTGGATACGTGGGCCCAAACACTTGGAGCATTACACTTCCCTAGATGATTTAGCAGGGAGCTGGACTGAAGGTGGGCAATTCAGACATGAACCTGTGCCCATCTGGAATGCTGGTGTTGCAGGCATGACTTAACCATCATGTCACACTACGGACCCCAACATACTTGTTTATTAAGACAAGTGAAGGGCCCAGCGTGATAACCTAGTGGCTAGACTCCTCACCTTGAACGCGCCCGGATCCCATATGGGCACTGGCTCTCTCTAATCCTGGCAGCTCCACTTCCCATCTAGCTCCCTGCTTGTGGCCTGGGAAAGCAGTCAAGGACGGCCCAAAGCCTTAGGGACCTTGTACCCACATGCATGGGAGACCTGGAGGAAGTTCCAGGCTCCTGGCTTCAGATCAGCACAGCACTGGCCATCGTGGTCACTTGGGGAGTCAATCATTGGATGGAAGATCTTCCTCTCTGTCTCTCCTCCTCTCTGTATATCTGACTTTGCAATAAAAATAAATCTTAAAAAAAAAAATTAAAAGACAAGTAGAACAGAGATGTAGTGGTCACCTATTATTATAACAAACTATCTAAAGCAGGTTAACTATAGAAGGGAAGGAGATTTATTTTGGCTCATGGTTATGCAGGTTTAAGGCCTAACTGTGTCAGCCAGAGAATGCCACTGTGCTGGCACAGTCCTGAGGCAGCATGGAGTGGCCAGTGTCAGGAGAGACAGGGAGCCTGGGGGTCTCTGTGCCTTTCCTTATAAAGCCACCAGATGCAGTCACAGGAGCTCCACGCTAAATCTTATCTAACCATGTTCTAAAGGTCCCACCACTAACACCATGCAGTACAGTCAACTAGAAGATTGGATTCTGGATGTGTTCAACATAAAACAAAGTTAAATGCTGGAAAAGATAGAGATATCTGCCTTGATCAGACATTATTCTACATCAAACAGTACTCTATAGGCACTATGCAGAGCCAGTATTGTGGCACAGTGGGTTATGCCATGACCCATATCTGAGTGCTGGTACAAGGCTCAGCTGCTTCCCTTCAAAGCAGCTCCCTGACTGTGCCAGAGAAAGCAGTGGAAGATGGCCCAATTGCTTGGGGCCTGCCACCCATGAGGCAGACCCAGACGGAGCTCCTGGTCTTACTCAGACTATTATAGCAATTTAAAGGAGTGGACTGGCACATGGAAGCTTTCCCGACACTCTTTCAAATAAATAAACCTTTTACAAGTTCCACCTTATTAATATCATTAACACAAAGCTATGGAGATTAAACTCCTATTGAGCATGGACGGGGAGCATATTCACATCACAAAAGGACATTTGATGGATGTGACTGACAGGTGTAATCCTTCAGAGTGATTTGCTCATTTGTAATTTCACACACATCAATGCACATGAGAACACATCTGCTGCACCCCCTTCCATCCAGAGCTCCTGCCCATGGATTTGGGTCCACCCCTCTTGAGGAGACTGAGGCGCCAGCAACCAACCCTGCTTCAGACACACAGCTCCCTGGGCTGCTGCCCGGGGCTCGGCCTAACACACGGTGTTCCTCGCAGGTAACAGTAACCCCTCCTTCTGCTCCCACTGTGCCAGGCTCTGACACCACTCAGAACCCTGGACTCCTGCAGCAGGACGGTTCTGTGTCCACTCTCTCTGCTCCCCTGTGCTTCTGAGGGCAGGAGTCCATAGTCTACACATGTCTGACCCTCCACTGCCAAAGAACAGCACCACACACCCCTGGCTAAATAAGGAGATGATGCCAAAAGTATCACCTTTCACTGACTCAACAAATGTTTGCAGAGTGGCCTCGCTATGACATGCCACACAACAGCTTCCACATAGATTAAGTATCCTGTAGGGGCTAAAATGCAATGTGCCAATCTTGCCAGCATCAGAGAGGGACAAGGCGGATGAGGCCAGGGTCGATGTTGGCAGGCCTTCTCACGTGTCTTCTGAGCTGTCTGCTCTGCCTAAATGGTGCATGAGCTGTTCACCTGTGCTTTCATCTCCAAAGCCCTGCTTCTAGCATTACTTCGATGCCCGCTCAGCAGGTCTCGGTCCTGTTGGCTTCATGCTTCAACGCCTGTGCCCTGGCCCAGAATCCTGGGGGATAACCCTTCCCCCAGATGGCCCTCCTCTGGTGTTCAGAGTGCCAACCAGTGTCTTATCACGAGCACATGCTGTGAAATGAGGCCGGTACACCTATTCCAGTGCACAGCTGGGGGACACATTGTCACAGGACAGAGAGAGGACCTGCTGAAAAAACCCTTTCTGATCCTCAATATGCAGCAGCATTACACACCTGCTGAGCACATCTACTTGCAGCTCCCCAAAACGCCTCTCAGACAATCCATCAATTTGGATGCTTCTAAATTACTTGCGGGAGCAGGGACCTCAGGAGTCCTTCTGGTTGGTGGACTTGGGGTGGAGGTTTGGCCACCCAGGTGACCAACTCCTCCCTCCTGGCCCTCTGTCCCCACCAAGTGCCCAAGACTCGCTCCTCGAGAACAGGGACATATATTCTTATAGCCATGGCACCTGGCACAGGGTTCAGCACCAGCTGGTACTAAGGGGCATTTGCAGAAGGAAGAGATCATCTCCCGGACCCAGGCTGCCCGTGGTTCTCCTCTTACCTGGAACACTCAACCTCCTGCCATTTGGATAGCAAAAGGGGAAACTCGGAAGACCATGACTGCCCAAAAACCAGAGGAAAGGAAACTTCAGTTTCCTCAATGAATTTGACAGCTTCCCGCCAGACCATAAAGTACAATCCACCGCCACCGCTTTCTGACCAATGCTTCCTTCAACTTCACTACTCCCATCAACACAAACACCATTATGCATTCAATCAAGCCAATAAATTCTGCAACAAATTTAACCAGTTTCTGCCCATTATAGACCTATTAAAATCCAGACACCTTGAAGAAGGTGTTGAAAACACTGCTTGTGACACTTTTATATCAGGATACCAGGCTTGAGTTCTGCCTCTGCTTTTTTTATTATTATTTTAAAAATCTTTTTTATTGCAAAATCAGATATATAGAAAGGAGGAGAGACAGAAAGATCTTCCGTTGATTCACTCCCCAAGCGGACGCAACAGCCAGAACTGCACCGATCCAAAGCCAGGAGCCTCCTCCAGGTCTCCCATGCAGGTACAAGGTCCCTAAGGCTTTGGGCCATCCTTGACTGCTTTCCCAGGCCACAAGCCTGGAGCTGGAAGGCAAGTGGGGCTGCCAGGATTAGAACTGGTGCCCATATGGGATCCCGGCACGTTCGAGGTGAGGAGTCTAGCCGCTAGGCCACGGCGCCGGGCCCCTGCCTCTGCTTTTGATTCAGCTTCCTGTTAAGGCCCACCCTGGGAATCACGGGGTCCCTGCCATCCACGTGGCAGATCTGGACTGAGTGCTGGGCTCTTGGCTTTGTGCTGAACCAGTCTTGGTTATTGCAAGCATTCCAGGAGTGAACCAGCAGATGGAAGATCTCTTTCACTGTGTCTCTTTGCATTTCAAACACATGGAAAAAAAAAATAAACTCCACAGTTTCTTATTGCTCCTTCTTGGCACCACCATGCACAAGTCCTCAATGGACATCCACCCCACCACATCTGAACTCCCGGCTCCATCCTCTCCCCTCCTGCACGTGCAGCCCCTGCACACCACCACCAGGCTGCGGACTGCTGCTTTCTACCGTGTGCCTGCTCAAACCACTTCACCTGCCTGGAGTCCTCAGTGTGCACTCTTCCGATGTAACTAACCCCGGCCTGGAGGCACTGAGACCCAGGAACCTTGGATAACCCGCCTGCCTGGCTGAGGACAGCCAATCCTGCCTCCCCTTACAGGAACGTGAAAGTTCTCGGCCACCTCAGAATCACAGCCGAGTTTCACCTGTGCTCCCTCCTGCCCTGACAAAAGCTCTCCCCGGGGCCCAGCCTCCCTCACTACAGAACTGTCTTAGGTCCTCCTACACTACTTTCCAGTTGAGTCAGTAACACTCTCTCCAGCGTCAAACTCTCAACAGTGGATAAGGAGCACGAGCCTCCGAGCCACCTGAGCCTGATCCAACCACCAGAACTTTGTTTCAGTTGGCTACTAAGATGCAATCAAAGGGTACAGGAAGAGCACATGTTTATCTCAAGCTCGTTAACAAAGCCCTCCAAACACCTGCCAAATGCAGGCCCTGCCTCTCCTTCTCAACCCTGTACAGCTGAAGTATCAATTAACAGCAAGGGAATGAGTGAGCACACACTTTCATGAGCTTCACAGCCTCTGCTTAGCTATCCAGTAACTTCTCTGACACATTTTAGGCTACTGCAAATATGGGGCATGGGGGGGTAACGTCGCAGGGGGCGGAGGGCAGGGGACACTTGCTCTTGGCAAATCCGGTGGTGAATCGTTCACAAATGAATGGGAATATAAACTCGAAAGCCACAGTCTGAGCAGCGGGGCGCAGGGAACGAAAGAACAGTAGGGATGTGAGTGTGGCTGACAGGACCCCAAATCACTTCGCCCCCCCTCCCCAAACTGCAGTCACCTTCCTGCCGCCGAGTCCCGGGCCTGTGCTAGCGCGGTAAGGCTGGCTCAGTCCCTCCAGCCCCCAGTGCTTACCAATGGAGATCTCCTGGGCGAAGGCCAGCGAGATGAGCAGCAGAGGCAGTCCCACGGCGATGCACGTGACCATCTTGTCCACGGCCAGCTCCAACCGCAGCCCCTTGAACTTGGGCTCGGAGGGCTCCTTCAACAAAAAGTCCGAGAACACGTATTCCGTGGCCAGGTGGGCGATGGCCATGGCTGCGGTACGCGGGGCTCAACCCGGCAGGCCCACGAGGGCAGGCCCAGGTGCCGCCGGGGTCTGGAAGGCGGCGGTCCGGGCGCCTTCACACTGTTACCAGCCGGGCGCGAGGCTTTCGCTTTCCCTTCGCCGCTCGCCCCGCAGCTGCTCCCTCATCCTGCCTTTTGTGTCTCGGTGTGCCCGGGCCTAGGCGGCCTCCACCCGGCGCCTACAAACACGGACTGGAAGAGCTCTTTTCTCCCGCTCCTGCCTTTGTACGCCAGTGGAGCTGGACCCAAGGCGCACGGGGCAGGAGCTCTATCCAGGCGCACGAGGCAGGAGCTCTACCCAGGCGCACCGGGCAGGCGCACGGGGAGCAGCGATTCCGTCTCCGCGCGCTCAGTCCAGACGGGTCCCGTGGCGCCCACGAAACCTGGGCTCCGCGCCTGCCCCGCGCGCCCACAGGCGCCAGGGCCAACCGGAAACAAAGGGCTTCCCTGTGCTGTAAACCCGGCGTGCGCCCGGCCCCCGAAGCGAACCCCGGGCCCGGCGCGCTCTTCCGGAACCGCGGGGAAACGCTGGTAGTAGGGGGCGTGGCGTTTCCGGAAGCGGCGCCGACGCGGGGCGGGGTGGGCACGGCTGCGTCCCGCGCCTCTGCTACCCACTTTAGCAAAGGAAGTTTGCGAGTCAAGCCTGTGGCACCTCTTGGATGTCTCGGGCCCGTGCTATCTACATTCTCCCCAGGACCTGGGATTGTTGAAACCCTCTCTGTTGTCTTCCGTTCCCCTGTGGATCCCTCCTACGCCGCACGCCCCACGCCAAACGTTTCTACACCAAGGAATGGGGTTCAAAGGAGCTATAAACCTTTCGAAGAAAATGTGCCACGCCAGGCCGTTCGGACCGTATAGAGAACCCTGCGTAGGACCCGAGCCTGGGCAGAGCGTCTGTGCGTGCTGGGGTCTCAGATCTCCATTAATGCTGCTTTTCCCTGCTGCTTTTCCCTGCATCTCGGCCAGCCTTGGACTGAAGCTGGCCGCAGGGTGCCTGATGCGGGGTCAGAGGGTATTGGGAGCTGCAGAGTTCTGAACCACTCAAGGGAGTGAGAGTGAGAACGGCCGGAGGAAATACTCCCACCAGCAACGCCGGGAGCAGGCAGAACCTTGAAATGTGAGGGCTTGTTGGGGCCCGAGCTTAGCTGGCGTTTGTGCACTTTGCAAGCCCGAGGTCAGGAGGCAGCTTCAGCTCACCGCCTCAGTTCATCCTCTCTACACAGACATCCGGGGCCTACATGAACTCTCCACTTCAAACTCCTAACGGCCGGGATTATCAATCCCCTTCAACTTGAACTCTACTTTCCATTCATACTAAAGGCACCACGTCCTCTGCCCACACACTCAGGACAGAATCCTGGACCCCTCTGGCAGGTTTCCATCTCTCCCAGCTGCCAGAACTCCTGTCTACACAGCCCTGCAGTGAGCATGCCTGACAGCTCTCTGCCTGCAATGCTAAGGCGGAGTTCAGCTCACCATCCTAAACCTATTCAGGAAGGTATTCCCGACTCTTCCACGCCACTCTGGAGGGTAATTCCAATCTAGCTGTAACACTCTTGCTTAAAGTGTACATCCCCTTTAGAATAAAACCCGTGAGTTAACAAAACCGCTGCTTACCTCAACACCTTCGGTGCCTCCACTTAAGTTCTTTGCCTTAGCTGGGCCCTTTATCTGTCCACCCCATCCTGTCCCCCAGAGGCCTGTGCCTGACCAACCTGTATTTGTTCTCCTGGCCTCTGTTCAGTGTTATTTCCTCCAAAAAAGTCTTACCTGAGTAGACTGAACAAGATTAGGTCCTTTTATTCACACTATTGCAACCACCTTGCTATTAACTTGAGCTCTTGGGGATGTTACATGGTCCTCCTTTGCCTCAGCATCCTTACCTGTAAATGATACCACTTCTCAGCATGTTTAGGGTCACAAGAGTTAACTTATGAGATATCCTGGATGGCACCTGGAAACTGACAAATACTATACAAAAATCATCTGTTACTCTGGCCAGTTTTTCTTCTTACCAATAATCACAATTACAGCAGTCGCCACTTGTTGGTGCAGTTCTCAACACTGGATGGAGACGCAAAAATGAAACAAACTCATTTCCTCAAAGGTCTCACCACTTAGTAAAATAACGACAACAATTAATAAGATACAGGCACAATTAACCATAAATAAGAAGTACTGTTGAATGATGATGAATTTAAAATAGGCAAGAAAGGTTATTAAGAAATTAGAAACTCCCAATAGAGCTGAAGGAAAGATGAGGGAGAAATCAAAGATACAAGGCTGGGGCCAGGGAAGGCAGTGCTGGCTTTTTTCTGGGCAGGGATTAGGGAACTTTGGGAATGGAGTGGTAGAAAAAGAGTTGTACTTTGGAATGACCAATCCTCCTTTAAAATGGATCGGAAGCCAAAGAGTGCAGTGGTGAGGTTGGAGAAGAGGCCGCCAAGATTTTGGCCTGTGCTGAAACTGCTGTTGTGGCTTTGAGTGGCACGGAGGGCGTGGTAGATAAGGGACCCTTTTCACTACTACAGATATCAAACAGTGCTGCATGAGCCAACATCCTTTGGAGGAAATTAGAAGGCGAGAGGCTTGGCTCAACTCCCAGGTTCACCACTCAATGTGTGTCACTGGAAACCTCCAAGCCCTCCTTGCTTCATTCACCACACAAGAACAGTACTGCCTTAACCCCGCTCCCCACCCATGTTGAAGATCAAATGTGACAGGGCTCGCTGAATTTCATAGGTGTTTGGCATTTGATAATTGTCATTACCAACCTCAGGAATCGGGCATGTCAGATAAGAGTTTGGATAACACTGCTTTGATTAAACGTAGACTTGCAGCCTCCATATTTTAAATATCAGTTTTGAAGTTACAGAAAAATTGGGCAGGTGGTACAGAAAATTCCTATATACCCCCATTCCTGCATGCAGGTTTTATTAGCAATATCTTCCATTGGTGTGGCCCCTTTGTTACAATTAACAAACTGTATCTACACATTAAAGATGCCTGAACTCCCCACTAAAATCCTTCCTCTGTTGCAGGATTCCATCTAAGATACCAATTATGTTTATGTGGGCGTTCCTTAGCAACTCGTGGCTAGGACAATTTTTTTTTAATGACATGACTTCATTGTAAGTGTCAAATACCTTCAGGGATTACATTAACATTCTCTTGCCAAGCCTACCCTGCCCCCAACTCTTGCCCCTGTGTTCTGGTCAGAGGCCAAAGTATCTCGCGGATCTCTCTGGGTACTCTCACAGAGCTCCATTTTGCCCGTTAGAGATCCTTGGCATTCGCATGCGAGGTCTTTGCAACAAGAAGACTCAGAGGCAAAATGGTCAAGCTCATAGACTGTTTATATTTTTGTTCACTCAAAAAATATGTGCTGAGCAATGATCATGGGTCAGTACTGTGGTCTATGTTGGAATGTAGCAGTTAGCAAAATAGGTTCAGGGTCCTGGCTTCCACGGATGCCACATTTAACTCAGAGGCAGATGAAAAACAAGCATTTAAAATGAGCATGCCCCATGGCTAAGTGCTAGAAATGAAAGTGTGGGAAGAGCAGATTACAGTGGAAGGATTCCCCGCTTAGAAGGGCAGTCTGGACAGTTCATATATTTCATATATATATGAACTAGGGAGGCCAGCCAACGGATTGAGTGCTGCCCAGGAAGAGCATTCCAGGACAGGGAACAGCATATGCCAAGCCCCTGAGGCCCACAGGGCATAGTGGAATGGAGCAAAGAGAGACACAAACATGAACCAAATCAGGCTGAGACCTACCAACCAAGGTAAAGAGTCACATACCATTTTCTTTATTTTTTCAAAAGATTTATTTATTTATTTGAAAGGTAGAGTTACAAGGCAAAGGAGAGACAGAGTCTTTCAGCTGCTGGTTCACTCTCCAAATTGCTACAACAGCCAGGGACTGGACCAGGCTGAAGCTAGGAGCATGGAACTCCATCCAGGTTTCCCATGAGGGTGCAGGAGCCCAAAACTTGAGCTATCTAATGGCTTTTTCCAGGCCATTAGTAGCTAAGTGGAGCAGCTAGGACTCAGCACTCATATGTGATGCTGGTGATGCAGGCAGTAGCTTAGCCCGCAATACCACAACCCCAGTCCCAAGAATTTGGATGCTATTAAATGTGAAATGAAAAGGCAGACTTCTTTACTGAGGAAGTGATGTGATTTGGAAGAACACTGGGACTGTGTGGGCAGCTTGGACAGTGACAGTAAAGCGGAGACCACAGTCATGATCCTGTTTAAACAAGACCTAAGAATTGAAGCCCAGTTCTACTGCCACAGTTCAGAAACTGAAATCAGTTTAAGGTGTTGGCAAGGCTAACTTCCTCAGGAAGAAAATGCATCCTCTTGCCTTTTCCATCTTCTAGAACTGCATTCCATGAGTTTTCTTCTTGCATCTCCAAAGCCAGTGGCCTGGCATCTTCCTTCAGTGGCTACATTGCCTTCTCCTGTAGTCAAACCTCTCTCTGCTGCACCTCTACAGAATTACTGGCGATTCCTGTTAGCGCCCAACTGGAGAGTCCAGAGTTAGCCTCTAATCCCTAAATCCTTAAATGTCTCTTTTGCCATACAACATTCATAACTTTGAGGCCTGGGGTATAGAATGATTGGGCACATTACACAGTCTGCTACAGATAGTAAGAAAGAGATAAGGCCCCAGTTTTGAGTTCTGGGGCATACTAACATCTGTCACACATAGGAGAAGGGCTAGCAAGAGAGGCTGAAGGAACAGCAGTGCACAAAGAAGGAAGGTGGGCGGGAAGCCAGGCTGCAGAGCCGCAGGCTAGACGAGTGCAAAGGGAAGGAGTTGGCATGGCTACTGAGAGGTTGTGTATGGTAAAGAGGGAGGGGGCAGGGGGAAACACTGGGAAGTTCATCCTGATTGGTGACCTTGACTTGACAACAACAAATTGGGTTGCAACGGATAGACACACTGAATTGCAAGCCATTGGAATACTGAGAAAAATATGGGTTGACGTTCAGGCAGTAGACAGCTCTTCACCTTCTGCATCCAAGGGAAGGGACACTGGCTCAGAGGGTATGCTAGAGGAAGGCAGACAGCCACCACTTTCTGTTTTTATGGCTGACACTGAAATGGTGCAGAAAGTGCAAAACAATGATAACTGGGAGAATGAAGTCCTTTAAAAAGTAAGCAGGATGAGGTTCAAAGCCAAGTGGAGAACCTGGTTATGCTAGGAGAAAGGATATCCCCCCGTGGTAAGGGGAGGAGAAGGTGTGCATCAATTAGGGTAGAGTTGACTTTCTCACGAGATATGCCAAAAATGAAGAACTGTGTAATGGCTGTGGAGAAAATGAGGACAAAATGTTATTTGTGGGAAGGGCGTTTTACCTCGTTTCCTCTAGTAACTAAAACTAGCATGGTCTTAGTGGCTACATACATGCATCTGAAAGATAATTCCCCTTCAACGACCCCCTCATGTTT